AGCTGTTTGAGTAGCAACGGTGCTACCCACCTCGGGCATATACAAGAGTCCAAGATTCTACCTGTCACGCTCTGCACGGCAGCAGGAACAACGTGGCTGTCACGGCTTTGGACATCGACTTGGGGCGCTAGCCAGAGCCCCTGCAGGCCGGGCGGGCAAGAGAGGCAAATCATGTCAAGAGTCGGAACTTAGTCCGTCTCGGTTTGAGCCTCGCTGCGCCTCCTGATGTCCTGGCGGTAGTCATTCGTGTTCCAGTGGCCAGACGTGCGGCCAGACGTGATGGGATTGACTTTCTGGACGTACATGGTGTCAATCTCTTCCAGACTGCGGTCTTTCGACTCAATCACGAAGAAGAAGACAATGACGACGAGGGCGGCGCAACAGCCAGCAAAGACTAGGCCGTAGAGGTAGTCAATCTCGTCGGTGATGAATCGTGTGCTGCAAATCGTCAGCAAGACCGGTTCCTACAAACACATGGGGGCAAGGGTACACCATCTCGACTTACAAAAAGGATATCAGGCTGAAAGTTTGTTAGCGTCAACGTCGTGGAAGTAAAAGGCACGGGGACACCCTGTACTCACAAGTTCCATAGCCAGTTGGAGGCCGTGGCCAGACCCATGCAGGTGCTGCGATAACGAAGGGGGTACAACTCGGCATTGACGGCCCAGACCAAAGGCCCCCAGCTGACGGCAAAAGCCGCAATGGCCAGACACGAGAATGTGACGAGGGCGGAACCGGCCTTGGGTGTGTTCATCGGGTTGTCGTGGTCGAGGGCGAAATGGCCGACAAAGGCGTATACACTGTTGCGCGATTAGTATTCACCCTCTGGACAAGAGTTCAAGAGTGTCTGGCTTACAGGAAACACATCATCATCCACGCGGCGCCAATCATCAGAGTGTTGCGACGGCCGAACCGCTTCGTCACCCACAAGGCAATGATTGTGCAAAAGACATTGACGGATCCGAGAATGATCTGCGTCACATAGCTGTTGCTGATTCCCGTGGCGGCAAAGACGGTGGTGCCAAAGTAGAAGAAGAAGTTGGCACCCGTCAGTTGCTGGCCGGCCTGGAGAACGATGCCAAGAACGGTGCGGTACAGCATGCGCGGCGCCGTAAAGATTTCGCTCAGTCGGAACTGGTCGGCGCTTCGGCTCTCCTCGTGGAGATTGTTCTGGATATCAGCGAGCTGGTGGTTGACGCCCTCGGAGTCGGGCGCGAGGCCGGACAGCTTGGCGATGGCGACGCGCGCGCGGTCAACGCGGCCGCGGCTGCAGTCGTACCGCGGACTCTCGGGCATGAACAAGATGGTGGAACCGAGAATGAGAGCCCAGGCAAAGGACAGGCCGTTGGGGATGCGCCACGAGGAGCTGTCCGTCTTGGCCTCGGTGCCCCAGTTGACCATCTCGGCCGTCCAGATGCCCAGGGTGATGAGGAGCTGGTACGAGGCGACGATGACGCCGCGGATGACGGCGGGAGCACACTCGGACTGGTACATGGGCACGACGACGGACAGGGCGCCGATGCTCACGCCGCTGACCAGTCTCCCGACGGCGAACTGGGCCCAGTGGTACGAGGACGATATCTCGATGATGGTGCCGACGCAGGTGAAGAAGGCGGCGGCCGAAATGGTCAGCCTGCGGCCGATGAGGTCGGCCATTTTGCCCGCAATCAGCGAGCCGATGAGGGCGCCGATGCTGACCAGTCCTACAATAGTGCCTTGCCTAGCAGCGCTGAAGTTGTAGGATCCATCGAGTTGCCGTTCGCCAAATCGCTCCTTGAAGTCCTGCATGAGGAAGAAGCCGGATATCTGACCGCTGCGGCCTGTTAGTGACGGCGCAAAGCATGGACAGGGCGGAGGTGTTTCGTGAGAGACGAGGAGAAGAGCTGGATTCACACAATACAAGGGAAAACTGACCTGATGTATCCAAAAATGAAGCCTCCCAAGCTGGCAACGCCGCCCTGGAAGCAGGCTAAAAAGGTAATCTTTTGCTCGGCCAGCAACGCATCTTTGCGATCCTTTGGTTCTGCGATTTGCTGCTCCCCATTGGTCGCCTCCCCGTGTACCGAATCTCTTTTAGCAGACACCATGATGGCAGCGTGCAAGTAAAGTGTAGAGTGCAGCCCAGTCTTGACGGTGATGGAAGGCGGACCCTAAAGGTAAAAGTGACCTCATGTGTCAAGGCGTCGAGGACAAGTTGCAAAGGCAAAAAAGTCAAGAGGAGAGCACACTAGATACATAGATGCATGTGCCGCCTGCCTCGAGGGCAGATAAGGTTTGCGTGGAAACAAGTCGACGGCATTGAACCCATGTGCTCCGTGCTGCTGCTCGAGCTGTTGTGACGATATCGGGCCGATGCAAACAGTTCAATCCACCCTGTTTAGCTATTTATTCTACAACATGGTCGGCATCGGCCCACTTGGCAACGCTGAACCCTGTCACGGCGGCGCGATTCGTTTTTCTCCGTTTCACGCACCACAGGAATGGGACATGCCGACGGGCGAGACGAAAAAAATTGGACTTGTCCGGAGCGCTAGACGACTCGGGTGGCGACTGCGACGATGGACACGGCCAGACGGAGTCATGTCATAATCCACACTTGCGGCATAATTTGCGGTGCGGTTGACTTGGGATAATGTCCGGGAGAATAGTCCTCCTTTTGGCCCTGCGTCGACATTGTTGGTCCGAGATGCAGCACCCGCGGCTGTCCAAGGACGGCAGACCATTTCAGGAGGCGCCAACGGCATCCATTGGCCAAGAACAACGTCATCGCGTCGATTTATTCGACGTGGCTTGCCGGCACCAACGGGACGAGCCAGGCAGCACGCGGGTGGAGATTGGCAGGGGTCACCAAGCGTCCAATCACGGTTGACGTGTCGGCCTCCTTGTGTCATTTCCGTTGGCTCGGCAAGTCCTCTCAGTGCTCCATTCTGCCAACGAGGCACAACATGAAAGGGCACACGCAGCTTGACCCCGTGACCCGAGCCAAAGTCGACTTCGTCACAGCTTGGGATGCCGCCTGGTCAACAAACCGTCATTCATGCAGCGGTATCCAGAACCCCAATACCAATGCAGCCGCTATTTACACAATGCCATGCAGCACGAGCTAGCACGTTGTGCTCATTTCCCCGTCTGTCTTTGCCCTTCTTTTTGGCCCGGGCTGCATCGGACGGCACGAAATGGCATGCTCCGCGCTTCGCCAGCCGTCGAGTGATTTCAACGTTGGCGTCGATGCCACCCAGGCCACCTACCTAGGCAGATAGCATGCTGGAAAATCGACAATCATCGTGGCATCGAGGCGTCTCGCCATAATAGCATGGATACCACTTTTCAAGTCAAGTGCTGTTTCCGCAAGAGAGGTGGCCAAAGGCCTCCGCCCGGTCCGCCCGGTCCATATAAAGTGGCTATATCGGCCGACGTACGCCCGGCTCTGTCAAGTTGAGAACCTCTCGCGCATGTACATCATCTATTGTGCAAACATGTCATCTCCTCGGGTGGCCAAGTAAACAACGGACAACTTTGCTGTCGAGCCGAGCGAACCGTTGTATATACATATTTTTTCGGCCACGTGCTGAGCCATTTATGGCATGGCACTTTATCCGCCGCATGAATCAAATTGCTCTCTGCATTTTTCTCTCAGAGGACCAGACATTACCAGGGCAGCATTACTCAGCGGAACTCCGGTGACCATCTTGAAAGAATGTCAAGGCTGGGCTTGTATCGACGTAGCCGTCTTGGAACAACAGCACATGTCCTTTGCACTCGGACGGTAGTGTGAAACAAATATAATTCGCAGTACACCATCGCCCGTCTTGGAACCCTTGGCGATACTGCCCACTTTCGGTCCACAGAGCCAGCACATCCTAGCTTGTCCGAGTTGACACCGACATTGACGTCTGCAGAGTAGCTCCGCATCAGCTGCCACTCACCGTCGGTCTGGCACGTAGCAGCAAGGTCGTGTAATGCGTTTTTCGCACTCAATCCAGTCCATCATTTCTAGTAGCCCGGTACCGTACGGCAGCGGGTTGGCGCGGAACCATAGCTCCGGGCCGGCATGGGTTTCTTTCGCCTTGTGGAAATTGGAAATGTCTACATTGAGATATTTTGCTTCCCAGATGCACCATGATCAAATATAGTGTGAATCAAAGGCCGAAACTGGTCGAATATTTCCTATAACCGTGCGATACACTTCCCTGCAGATGGCCAAGGTTCTGTTGAACAGTTGCATTGGCTGGCATACCCTGCAGCGATAGCCTCATGTCGATGCACCATTCAGCGGCTCTGCTGCGTTGCCACGAGCATCGATTGATGTAGGTAATACCAGACCCCGCCATCCGTCAAGACGTCTGGTGTTCATGTTCTGAATTTGCGGCCACTTGGGTACCGGTTTGACGCCTGCACAGTCGGCCTCTGTCTCTCCAAGAACTCGTGGAGAATTTTAGCGTCTTGCCACATCCGCTATTGATCTTGAGGCTGCCGGGAGTGGCAAGTGACATACGTCCACAAATGTGAAATGTGCAGGGGCTCTGGGCCACATGAACACCTGGAAGGAAAGAAGCCCTTTCTCTCCGATAATAATTGATTACTAGTGTAAATGCAGAGGCCTTTGTCGTAAACATTTGTTGACAAAAAGCGGCGTCTCATGATAACCCGCCCGGGCCTAATGACATCATGAGCTGTCCATACTTGTTGCATAGGTGTACCAAAGACCTCTCGTCCTGCCGACATGAAGAAAGCAGCTCATCTGCGTATTGGCTACATGACCGAACCGAAAAACTGACCAAGTCCATCGTCGTATATATTTCATCGTCTCGTGGCACCGTGTAGCTGGGTATGCTGCCATGTTGCAGCCCATGGATGAGTCCGACTCGGCGGTTGTTGTGGCCAAGTTGCAGGCACGCTCGACATATTTTGGAAACACCAAACGTCTTGCTACGTGCTCGCCATTGGCCATCCCAGCGACATTCTCACCGTGGAGAATGCTCTTTCGCAGCGCCAGCGCCTTATTTTACTTGGGCGTACGCTTCCAGGGCATCGTGCAGTCGACCAAACACACCACCGTGCCAGCGTCGCACATCCTCCCACTCCGGCTTGGGCAAAGTCGCTTGTGCCATGCGTAGCCATGCGCCGACGATGAAATCCGCGTAGCTGGCCTGCTGCCCCAGCAGAAAAGGCCCGTCGGTATTCTCAAGGAACAACTTGGATAGGTCGCCCAGCATGCCCCGAAAGGATTCCGTGAGCTTCTCGCGCGCCCCACCAGTCAAGGTGAAGTCATCCCAAGAGCTGACGCCGGCCCGGCGGACAAATTCGGCCTTTGTTTCGTCAGCGGTGGCGGGATCAAGAGGCAGGCCCTCCACCATTAGCGGGGTGTGGGTGGTAAAGGCCGCATCAACATTTGTGTTAAAGCGGAGGTACTCGGCAAAGCCACCATCTGGACGCTCCGACAGTGGCACCGGGAAGGCGACGCTCTGGTTAAAGGTGTAGTCGAGGGTCTGGGCGGGAAGCAAATCGCCGCCGCCCGAGTCGGGATACGTGCGCTGCAGGTAGACGGCAATGTCGAAGGAGTCACCGACCGTGGCACCGGTGGCAGCATCCTGGATCACAGGGAGGGTGTAGAAATCCGTGCCGTCGGCGAATTTGCGACCGGCCGACTGCCCAAGGTCACGACGTACTTTTGCGATGTCGGGCATGCGTACCCACGAAGTCGAGTAGGAGACGCCCTTGAAGTTGAGCGCAAATCGGGTCTTCCATGGGTTCGGTGAACAGCACGTCTCCGCTACAGGGGGTCGATGGGCGATATCGTAGAAGACAATGGCGCCCGTTGAGGCGGGCGGCGTCGCCATGGCAAATGATAGGTACCCAACTGTGAGTGCCCCAACAAGGTGTCTGGTCAATGTATTGTGGCAGAAGGGACAGGCCGAGTGATTGTGCTCGTTGCGTGATGCAAGGAATGCTCACGGGAGAATCTGAGTGGCTGAGACGGAAAAAGTTTGGCCCGGCAGTTGGTCTCCAGGGTAGGTTGAGCACGTGCGGCAAGTCCTCGGAGGCTCATCAGACCAGACATCAACTGACCCCTCTCACATATTCTCGGCTTCACAGCCTGCAATGTTGTAGCTAGCTCAGTTAAGATAGTTCAATGCAGATACGATCCGTCAGCTGCCTTCCCTTCACACCAGCCTCACACATGGGAGTTTTGCAACAGTGCACCCTGTCGGCCTCTTTCCCTGCTTCCCTGGTGTACTAGCAACGCAGGATGGAAAACTTGCTTGTAGCTGACATGCAGTGCACCTCGGCTCGCCTTTCTGAACATATCCTCGACAGTTTGTCAAATGTATAGGATTCAACACTGACAAAGGAAGCTCTTCCCATTCACATTGGCACTATGGCGCCGCGGAAGATTATCATAGACACCGATCCGGTACACCACTTATTCCATTGCCTTCGACAAGCGCAGTGAACTGACTGACTCGTATAGGGAGTCGATGACATCCTGGCAATGCTGCTGGCTTTTTCAGCACTACCAGAGGAGCTTCAAGTGTTACTCATTTCTGTGACATATGGCAACATTGACCTCGAAAACTGTTTACGCAATGTCATCTCACTATTCCACCATGTGGAAAAGGAGATCGCGTGGCGAGAAAGCGTTGGAAGGAGCTCCGGATTCAAAACTCTACGGAAATCGAGGCCTGTAGTTGCCGTGGGCCCTGACCGTCCGCTCGCTGATGACACGTTAATGGCTGATTTCTTTTGTAAGTTAACGTGCTGCATGAGCTGGACGTGAAGCTGATATTGGTGACAGGTGGTCAAGATATGCTTCGTGGATTCTACTCGAGCGTATGTCCACACTTGAGGGTGAAGCAAAGTATTGACTAATTTGGGTAGCATCCACATCGAAAGCCCGCCGAGACGTGGCAGCGCCTCTTGAAAGTGGCAGAAAAGTCGTCTGCTCCTGAGCAGGGTGAAATAGCCAGACAGATGAACAAAACAGCCTCTCTATTCACACAATCTCAAAAACCTGCACATTTAGAGATTTTGAAATTATTACGCGACAACGAACCCAACAGCATTACGATCGTGGCAATCGGTCCCATGACGAACCTCGCCCTTGCTGCAGCGGAAGATGCGGAAACATTCTTGAAAGTCAAGGAGATCGTGGTCATGGGCGGCCACATCGACCAAGCCAGCAACGCAGGTTATCAATCTTTCTCACATCTACAGCAGGCTTCGAACATAGACGAGCCTCCTTTCAGGCTCATCAAACAAGCGCCAGGTCCTATTAGAGATTTGCTGAACATTCGAAATCAAATGACGCCTGTTGCAGAATTCAATACCTTTGCAGACTCTGTGGCGGCGGCACGAGTATATGCTCTCACATCACCGGAACCGCACACCACGATGCCTGTAGTGCCACCGACACCTCTGGGTCAGAAAGAGGCAGCACCCCCTCCATCGTTCCTCTCCTCTTACCCAGACAATCTTTCAAAGCGGTTGACCATCACATTGTTTCCACTGGACATCACTGAGAAGCATGTGCTCACTCGTGGCGAATTTGAGGCATTTCTTCAGCCACAGCTGGCTGCAAAGTCGCCTTTGGCAGCATGGGTTTCAGCGTTTATGAACGCTACCTTTGAGAAAGTCGAATCTCTTCATCCAGAGGTCTCCAGAGACGCCGTGGGAATGCAACTCCATGATCCGCTGACGATATGGTACTGCATGGATGATGACAACCCCAAATGGAAGATTATTGAGGGTGAAGATTTGAGGGTGGAGACTACAGGCCAGTGGACAAGAGGAATGTTTGTGACTGACAGGGGAAATCGAAAGCGAAAGGACAACTACGGCAGTAGTGAAGCATCTGGGGATACTAATAGCTCGTTGACAGGAGGGACTGGCAATCGACTCAATCGGTGTGTCGGATCCCCTGGACAGGATGTTTTCGGTCAATTACTGCTCAAACGAGTATTTGGCAGCTGAGCGGTAAGATGTTAGCGATACTTGTAGTAAAGTTTAAGCTATAGGAGGTGGAAGGAGTTGGTATTATGGAGGACGAGAAACAGGCTTAGACGCTTCATACTGCTCTAACACCTGAGCTGGGCACGTAGTACAGAACAAGGCTTCCATTCGCCATGGTCGTTGTTCGCCTTGCATTTCCCAAGATGACCAGATTTGCCAGAATATTCTTGTATTTCCAAGGGCGACGCCTCGTGGGAATAAAAGGAAGGAAGCCGCCGGATTCTTAGTTGAAACCAAGGCCCAATTGAACAAAGATGTACGTAAATCCCAACTTCGCCCAGAATTGTGTATTGTGGCAAGGGCCTAGTATTTAGGGGCTTAGAACAAGGTTCCTATTCAGCTAACACTTTGCTTTGATATCAAAGGTCCTTAATTTTCCATAAAGCCCCGAGGGCAGAAGACCTTTATTTATATTAAGAGGCGGTAAGGGACCTTGCCCTAGGTCTCCTGATCAGAGCCCTTGTGTAACTATCGTCGGGTTCAAGGTTCGGCCCCTGCCTTCATGGCAACGTGTCATCCGTGTAACATGTACCATGAGGGTCAATCAGTCTCGACTTGGACCCTTGTGAAAAAACAAGACAAGAAAATAGAACGTGGTGTTACAGCTAGACGCCCGAATCCTCTTGCTCTATACTTGCGATTCTCTGATACGCGTTCCAATTTGTGCACACATTATCCACGTCGGTCGAGTTTGTAATGGCCGCGATTTCGCCTTGCCTCTCGATAAACTGCAACGCGAATCCCTCGGAAGTGTGCCACCCAATGTGACAGTGCATTAGCCAAACTCCCGGATTGTCCGTCTGCCACGCCAGCACGAGATATCCCGACGCGGGCAGCATTGCCGTATCGCGCCGCGCAGGATTGTCCGTGTTGAGAGCAACAGTGTCCGACGAGTACGTGCCCGACCCTTGGGCGAGGACGAAAAAGTCGTGTCCGTGTAGATGGATCGGGTGAGGCACTCCTATGGCAGTCTCTATGACGAGGTATACCCACTGGTCTGCGTCGCTGAGCTGTATGACGGCATCGTCAGTCTCATAGCTTGTTGTGCCGTTCAGCACAGACTGCAGCGTCGGATTCGCCCAGTCGACGAGCATCGTTGTGCTGTTGAGATACCACTTGAACAGTCCGGCACTATTGGTGCCTACTGTTGCCTCCTCGAGGTCATTCCAATTTGCATCCGACACCGACTTGCTGACGTAGGGTGCCAGATTGGCTGTTTCGTCGTCGCAGCCGTCTGTATAATTGTATCCCGTTGTCGTGGGCGTTGCAGGACTGTCGCCGTAGTATACGATACCTCGGATGTTGTCGGAACTGTCGTTGTCGGAACAGGCGGCCTGGGGAATTGCACGCATCCAAAAGTTGTCGGCTATGGATGCTTGGTCGGCCGTCACGATGACATCGTATCGTTGGGCTATAAAGTAAATTACCTTGTATCCACTTTATTGTTTGAATATCCGGTGTATACAGTCAAACAAACTTGTGGAGTACTCACCGATTCCGATATTCAACACCGTGGCTGTAAAGGGCTGAATTGGTACGAGATCTGCCGCAATCACCGTCATTGTGTGATTGTCAATGGAAAATTTCCAGTGTGTATCAATTGCCGCGTTGAGGAGTCTCAGGCGGTAAGACCGTCCCGAGGTAAACGATACATTGAAACGAGTCCCTGTTTGGGAAGAGCTGTCGTCAGATCCGTAGACATTGGTGCCGTTGATCAGCCCGTTGCCGAGCGTGGGTGGTCCGGCCGTTTGGGCCACGGAGTACAATTCATCCACCGTTTGGTGGTCCCAGTCGTTTAGAAAGACCATTCCGAGGTCTTCATCGTAGTTTGAACTGGCGGGTCCATTAATGATGATGCCCCCAAACACTCCTTCCCAGGCCTGGAGGCCAATATGTGAGTGATACCAAGAAGTGCCGTACTGCGTGGCCTTCCAAGTGTACGTGGTTGATTGGTTGACGGCAAGAGGGCATTGGGTAATGGATACCACTCCGTCATTTTCATTGGTATAATTTTGGCGTATACCATGAAAGTGAATGCTTGTACCGTTGAGGGAGGTTGTTAGAGAGTTGCTAACATGCACAACCACAGTGTCCCCCCAATCAGCAAACAGGGTTGGTCCGGGAATGCTGCCATTGACAGCAATAGCAGGCCGAGAGAAGCCGTCAGGAGCTACAACAACATCTGTCAACTCTAGCCAGTACTCCCTGGTGACCGAAGTATCAACAACAGTGGTGGAATAGTCGGTTGCCACGGAGTAGTCACACCACTGCATGCGGTCGCCTGCGCTGTTTCCGGCACAAGCCGCCGCCGTGACGACTTTGGCGGCCGTTCCTAGCAAAATAACCAAATATTGAATCATTGTTAAAGATTGTGATATAGATGTTGAGTGCGTAGGAAGATGAGGGACCAGAGGCAAATTTATCTTTGCCATAAACAATGGTTTGGTATACGGCTTCTATCTACAGTAACGTATCCTAGAGGCTAGGCTAGTCCATATACAAGACCGAAAAATGACCGACAAATTCAATAGTTTGTCACTTTGGAAAACCTTATTTCTGTTATCATAAACCTCAATAACTGCCGAGAAGCATCCCCTTGCTCGTCTAGGGCCACGTAAGCCCAAGCCGCGTAACCAGTCAGTAATAACGTGACGATCAGAACCTGTGCATCTATTCATAATCACACTTCATGTGCTATCAAGCTAATAACCTTCATACCTAGTATTAGTATTATGGCGTTAATTTTGTACATGCAATCTCGGTGCCCACATCCCGGTGGATAGTCTGCCTGTTTATTACGCGTCCGGTTGTGCATATTAGCCACTCACCGAAGGCCGAAAGCTATTTGTAGCTTCAATAGAAAATTTATAATCGGCATAGATCGGCTACTATGACAATAAACTTTCAAGGGGTAGCAGAATGCCAAGCTAGGCTAACGGCGCTTGGAGCGGCTGACAATACGACATGGCTCTGTGCTGGGCGATGACACGCCGCGTCAGCGGCATGAGACATGGTGGACACGTCACTGCTGGGTTCAAATTGCCGCTTACTTGAGCGAACAGACTTTGCGCTCGGATATAAAAGCATCATAAGTATCTGCTTGGAAGAAGCAATGGTGACCGGAGCCATTGCGTTCACTTCATTCATCCCAGGCAATAAGTTCTGCTAGACAAGTTATTATCAAGTTTCTTTCCATCATGATCTCATCGTATTTGTTGGCCTCGATTACCCTTTTGTTTCTATGCAGTACAAAAGGGGAATTGATGAGCAGACAGAGCTCTACGGAGCCATTTCAGATGTATGCCTACGGTCCTGGCATTGGTGGGCTTTCAATTTTCTCCTCTGGTGGTAAATAGCAACCAATCCTCGTGCTATATGCTTCAACTGACTTGAAATACAGGCAATGCCTTTGTTGGAGACTACCAAAGCACGAATCAGTCACAGGCTGCTCCGGTTATAAGTACATTGTCTCGTTATCAGTTTCACACAAACGCCCGTAGCTTACATTATTCTAGTTACCCCTGTTAATACAGGGGGTGATGGCGGATCTTGGGTGGCGACCCCTAATACTACTCGTCCTGTCAATTCCACCGATCCTCCAACGTGGTCGAGCCGCGAATTTGCCATTCCCGGACCTGATTCGGCATCGAATCAAGTGGGTTTTGTAACAGCGGCAAACGATACCTCCAATGCAATTACCTCGGGCTTTAGTTTTTATGGAAACGTTATATTATTGACGACTGGAGATGGAACATGGGAGTCGCTTTGGGCTGCGGTTCCAACTGCTATAGACGATGTGTATTTGCTGCAGTGGAACGTGACGGATGATGAGGACAGCAACCAAGTGCCATTGACATTGAAGAGAATCCCCCCTTCCAACTCACCAAACTAGGGAGCACTTTGGTGCGCTACACCTCCATTCGGCATTGACTGAGCTATTATCAACGAGCACGCCGTGGCGCTCAACTCGAATGTGAGGAAGAGAGAAAGTTTGGACCAAGGAATGCGTTTTCAACAAATACATTTTAGTATATTTGCTAGTCGAATTCGTCATGAGCATCTTCGTCGGGGCTTGGGCCTGACGTTGTAGCTGGGGTTGGGTTGGGATGCGGCTTTGGGATCGTAGCTAGATGCCAGCCCGTACATCTAGCTTATCAAATTGGTGTATTGTGCTCCCGTTTCTCTTCTCAAACTGTAGGTCTCATAAGGGAAATGTGTTACAAGTAACAGGTTTAATGTATTATATTCAAAAGGCTCTAAGAAAAAGAAAGCTATTAGCTACGTACAACCAGGCATTGTGGCCTTTATAGTTGGAGTTGATACCCTGGGTGACCCCTATTACGGGCCGCTCACGTGCACGGCTCGCGGCGCCGGAGTAGAACAACATTAATCTAACCAATCAGGGTGGTTACATATGTCCAGGCCGGGGCCAATTGGTCCGACCGAACAACGCCACGTCACGGGCCAATAATTATCACAACACAAACCATTGTGCAGAAAAACACGGGTAAGGAAAGGATGTTCGTAAGCTGCGCCCTTTGCCGTGATATTCGTTGTGTTTCATGAGTCTGCATCCACAAACATTTGATCAAACAAACTTCTCCCTTTGTAGTCTCGTGATTGAACCACCACACCACTGCTCAAACATCTTTGATACAATGGGTTTCTGCATCATGGGCTAGGGCTTTTGTTTTGGCAACAAAGGGCTGCAAGGGGCGTGAATGAGCACAATCCTGGTCATACAATGATGCAAGATGTGCTGCAGATTAAAGAGCAGCCTTTTAAGCCTCCTGCTGCACAAAGATTATGCGCTCATTCCGAAGCAATTCTCTGACCGTCCGTTGACGAACCCTTAGAAAGTCATGATTTCTTTGACCAAATACCTCTATGCACGCCTAGGAATTGTTTCAGCGCCTTATCTTTTGTTTCCCTTTGAGTAATTTGTTTTCTGGATTTTAGGTCCCATGACACCTTTGTGCCTCGCGAAGAGGAGGGACGCTTGATGCATTGCAGTGGGACATAAAAGACACGCCAGTGCCCCAAGGTGTAAAAAATTGAAGAAAACAATTCATCACACTTTCTCACCTATTTGATATCTTGCCTATTCTCACTTCCAACGTATTGACAGTATTCACAAAATGGGCAACTGTTCCAGCAAAAGCAATGCCGACGACGAGGAAACTCGGCCACTACGACCTGCAACAATGTCGGAGTACGTTTTTTTATTAAAACACGGAGAAGTATTCATAGTTCTAGTGCTAATGAACAAAAATTTCTTAAAGACGTGCACCAATTGCCAACAACGTTTGCCAGGTACAGCGAAGTGGAGCGGTGAGAAAAAACGAGGTTCAACGGCGTGAGACAGGAAAAGAACCCAGCCCTCTCAATTCGCCTGCCCCTTCTGTCTGTTCTTCAACTAGCTTGCCAGGTACGGACGGGAATAGAATTACTCCCGCGCACATGAGGCAATGGACTATGCAGCGAGTAGTGCCAAGAAGCGGTTGCCAACCATTCGACGGAGCTGACATGGGGGATTGGCTGGCCGGACAGCCAAGCCTCGACAAGTCAGTAAGCCCACCAGCCTCTCCCGCGTCTGATACATGAAGCAACGCTAGAGGGACTTTCAAGGGCCCTATACCGAATAACGTGGTTTGCCAAGGCTGTAAGTACATCTTTATAGGCCAGAGAGCAATATAGTAAAGCTTCAATGTTACTAAATTTAAAGTAGGGATCCTTTTACACCTTCTTTTCCGAATTTTGAACCAAGTGTAATATTTTCATGTATATTGTCATCTGTTAGTGGAATAACTTCCCTTCACCGAGTCAGTTATTCACCAGATAGAGAGTCGTAATACAGATCTATCCTTGTCTTGGGCACATTCTTAGACTTGTGCTCGACGATGGTATTCACAGCCTTAATCAGCGTATTCTCCAAGGAAGTAAACCCATGCTTCTGGCCCATCCTCTGTAGAACCCGAACACTGCGCTTATTATCCACGTCGCCAGCATCCACGGCCTCTTCATTGACCGACTTCAGCATAATCTTTCCGGGGAATTGCCTGTGCAAGATTTCGAGAATCTGAACCCATGAGTATGTCCCTGCAAATGCAAATAGACGCTCGTTATTCACATCATCGAGTGTCAACGCGCCTAGGTGCAACAGTGCTGTATCCTCGACATCAACGTACCACTGCGGTGGCAAAATTGACGGCGCGGCAGGATAGCCCTTGACGACGGCATCGATCACGGCCGAGGTGCTGCGATAGCCCATGTTTTCCGGCGAAATCGCTATGCCAAAGTTTACATTGGGCACAACCGTATTGAAGGAGAAGGGTGGCTTGTTTTTCTGCACCCATGCAAAGGATTCCTGCTCGCCGCGCGCCTTGGAGGCGCCGTAGAGCATGATGCCGTGCCAACGGGGGTTGCCCTTGCCATCCCAAGGTTTGGCTGTTTGTTCCATGGCTTCGGTATTCCAGGTAGATGAGTCGATTCTGTACGGCACGCCAGTTTTGGGAACAGCGCATGCGGCAAGAGACGACGTAATCACAACACTCTTCACCGTAGGTTCCTTTGCTGCTGTCTCGAGCAACAATAGGTTGGACTGGATAGTTTGGTCGATGATGCTTTGGTTTTCTGGATTCATATCCATATTCATGGCCATGTGAGCAACGCCATCCACCCCTTTCAGGGCCTCATCGAAGGCACCTGGAGAATGAATGTCCGCAACCTCAACAAGTTCGAATTTGGGACCAAAGTACGTTTTCATCCAGACGTTTGATGCGACGGAGCGAACAGTGCCACGAACCTGGTACCCGCGCTGCAAGAAAACTTGGATAGCAACGCTAGCAATATAGCCATTGGCGCCTGTGACGAGAAGGAGACCTCCGGGCGGAACTGAAGTCATTGCAGGTATTGAAATGTGTTTTGAATAAGAGGATTTGAAACTAAGTGTAGAGATGAGGAACCTGAGAGATGGGGTGGACATGCTGCTTTATATAGACAAGACGATGGACATTGTCCACAGACGCCGACGCTCTGGTGTATCAGTCCCTTCTGGTTTATTAGACTGGTTCGTTTTCCCGATTAGGAAACGAGGGCTGATGAGTGTCAGCCTAGCCATGGTGGTACAACTTGTCTCCACTTAATGACTTCAATTCCCTTCTCATCCTCCAACCTGGCTGCAAACCCGCATCCTCACACATGTCCCTCAGTCCCGAGGTATATGCAATGCCCGACACCTCAGCGGCCACCGTTTTTGCCAACACCGTACTGGTGTCTTGGGAAGCGGGCCAAGTTCCCACACTGCAGACCATTGGTGTTCCAGACCAGCCACGCAAGAAGCGCGCCCATTGCAAAAGCCGGCGTGGGTGCCTGGCATGCAAGCGTCGCAGAGTCAAGGTGCGTTACTACAGTGTACGTCTAACGGCTGCCTGTTTCAATCTAACAATATTGAACCTAGTGTGACGAACGTCTCCCATGCTCCAGCTGTGTCAAGCGGAATATCCAATGCGTGCAGCCTTTGCACCAACGTGACATTTCCCCGGCCATCTCCGCGACCAGGGCTGGCATTGAGATAGACCCAAACCCCCAGATTAGTCTATTGCATCTCGAGCTATTCAATCACTGGGATAAGGAAACCCGGTCGACGCTTACGTTTCCTCAAGTCTGGACCGTCGTCACGCAACGAGCTTTTCATGTACGCCTGAGTCCTCACTTACCCACGGAAACAGGCCCTATATTAATATGCCGCAGGAAGATTTCATCATGTCTGCCATTCTAAGTGTTGCTGGTATGCACCTCGCAACCCTTTGTCCGCAGAGCAGCAAATACTCTCACGCAGCAATGCAACTAATGGCCAAGGCGATACGGCTCTTTCGCCAAAATCTATCTCGCCCCTTCACCAAAGACCACTGCGAGGCGCTTATGGGAACGGCCCTTCTCATAAACTACATGTCGTGGGTCGACCTGGGATTCTTGGACGGCGGAACAACTGCCGGCTCGGATACTTTGAATCTCGTCCAGGACCAGTTATTCTTCCTCAGCTCTGGTATTCTTCAGGTTTGGTTTCAAGCCATGCCCATCTTTATTGACGAGGGAAGCGTCTTTACTGAGATTGTATATCAGAACCCAAGACTCGATATTGAAGATGCCCTCGTCAGAATCGGCGAGGACCCAGCTCGCTTCGTAGAGCCATTCATGACAATCTGGGATGATCCTCACTACCAGACCTTGAGTTGCAAAACTACAGAAACCGTTCATTCTGGGGCTACATTCTATGCTTGGCGTCTTCTTCTTGGTTTACAATCTGAACTTACATGTCGGAATTCCTTGCCGCCAGCATCAGCGTCAACAGCACAGGGACATGGTGAAAAGCAGAAATTAAGATCTCTCAGAGATACAGTCACAAGAATTACCACCAAGGATGTCTGTGCCAGCCATCTGGATACTTCTGTCGCACCATCATCGCAATCGGATCGCTCCGCATTCGAAAGAGTTATCCGCTGCATGTCGCCTCTCTTGTGCTGCGCGTCTCTGAACTCGACGGCGGATTCGGCAGCACATGCTAGCACCAAGGCTCTCGAAGCGAATATTGAGCAATTGTTCTATGGGTTTCCGATTCTGTGCTGCGGACCCTTTGCTAGGTTAATTGCGACAGGAGATTCGCGGGCCCTCGTCTTTCTTTTCCACTTTTATCACGCCGCACGAAGATTGCTGGCGCCTAAAAGGTGCTGGTGGGCATCTGTGAGAAGCTCCGTCATGGAGGAGCTTATACTCAAGGAGCTAGACTGCCGTGGGCTTGATGTATCTCTGCACATGGAGTAGTACACATAGCCTCGAGACTCTTCACAGAAACTGTATAGCTGCCTGTCTGGGTGTCATTGACCTAATTTC